CTTCCACTGTACCTGCCATCAACATATCCTATGAATGCTTCGCACGAGGCACTGTGTTCGACGGTGCGCGCTCCAAGCGCGTGCCCCGTCGAGTGCCATCTATGGGGCTTTGCTCGGCTCGATGCCCCGAGGGGCTCGGGCTGTTCCTGCGACCTGCGATGGGGCTCTCGTGATCCGTGCGACCCCTCCGCCTCTCCCCTCCCGCCTGCTCCATTGCACATTCGAGCTCGCTCGTTCTCAGGCGCACTGACGCTCAGGCCCATTTGCTCTCAAGCTCATGCGTACCCAGACTCGAACCCCCTGACAAACCCGCTCAAGCTCAGAATCATTTGCACTCAAGCTCACCCGCACTCAGACCCAATGACAACATCACTTATGCCCAGACTTAATCACACCCAGACTCATCCGTGCTCAGACTACTCGTACCCCGACCACACACTGTCATATCCACTGACCCAAATCCGCTCATACTTGGCCTCATTCGTAATCAGACCATTCACACTCATATCCGCTCATATTCAGCCGAGTCCTTCCCATTCAGACTCATGCGCACACACACACACGCACGCACCACTCACACTCTGAGCAGTCACTTTTAGACTCACCCATGTTCAGACTCGCCATCAGACTTACCCACGCGCTGTCATTCACACTCAGACCCACTCGTGCTCGCTCCTGGGACTCGTCCATGGTCGCCGCGATGCTGCAGGCATAACACTCGAGGGCCCCAAAGAAGAAGCCGACGGGGGGCATCTCCCAGGCCCGCTCGCGCCCGGATTATGGGCCTACCTCGAGCGAGGGGCTCGGTTGCACCTCGGACTCCTCTCCTGTCAGAGCCTCCTGATCACCGCGACGTAGCAGGCATCTCACTGGAGCACCCCAAGGGGAAGCCGCCATGGCCGCCAGGTGACAGCTCACTGGTCCGTTCGCGCCCAGATTCTTGGGCTGCCTCGAGCGAGGCGCTAGCTTTGCACCTCGGACTTCTCCCTGTCAGAGCCCTCGGATCAAGGCGATGCAGCACGCACGACATGTGAGCACTCCGAGCGGGAGCTGCAAGTGTGGTATATGACCGGGCCCGCTCGCGCCCAGACTGTGTTGACGTCTCGATCGAAGCTCCCGCTCGGTGCCCCGAGCTCATCTCCTGCCTGAGCCCCCTGATCGCCGCGACGCAGCAGACAAAGCACTTGAGCACCCCGAGGGGGGACATTCCAGGCGGTGTGCTGCTTGCCCGTTCGCGCCCAGATTGCGGGGATGTCTCGAGCGAGGCGCTCGCCTGGGCGCCCGCGACTCCTCCCCTTGCAGAGCCCCCGTGGCCGCTGTGACGTGGCAGGCGCAGCATCGGCCCCGACCCCTCTCCTGTCAGAGCCCCCTGGCCACGGCGACGCGGCAGGCATGGCACTTGGGCGCGCCAGTGGGTGGAGCCGCCAGGGGGTATCCAAAAGTATCCATGAAAGGACGAGCGTCCCAAACAAACAAAACGAGCTGACGGGAGGCTTATTCGAGGACGAGTCCCCGCGATGGGGCACGCACGTGAGCCGCCAGAGGGTGGACACACGGCGGCAGGGAGATGGCAGCTCACGGTGGCAGAGAGACGCAGCGAGGAGCGCTCACGCTCGCACTTGCACGTGCCCAGTCGGACTCGCGCTCACACTTCACGCCCAGATGCTCACAGAGGAAGGCGCCAAAACACGACATGCAAACATCGGAGAAAACGCGTTTCACGGGCGCTTGCCTTGGGAATATTGGGCGGCGCGTTTCGAAGCGGGGGGTGGGCCCCCCCCCCAACACTTGGCGCCGTCGATCAAAACCAGGGGGGCTCCCCTCCCCCCCAAACCCCCCCCTCCCGAACCCCCCCCCCGTCCCAAGGGGGGGGAGGTTCAACCCCCCCCTGGCGCCGGCGCCGGCGCTGGCGCTGGAGGCCGCCAGCAGCGCCGACGGCGGGGACGCAGCGACGATAACCAGAGGCAGCCCAAAGGGGGGGGAAGGGGGTTTCAACACCCCCCCCCTCCTGGCGCCGGGGGGGGGGGCTTCAAACCCCCCCTCCCCCCCTGGCGCCAGCGCCGGCGCTGGCGGCGGCCAGCAGCGCCGGCGCTGGCGCCGGCGACGGCGGGGACGCAGCGACGGCGATTACCACCACTACCACCACCACCGCTACCACCACCACCACCGCCACCAACCCACCACACAACCACCACCACCACCACCACAACCACCACCACCACCACCACAACTCACCACCACCACCACCACCACCACCACCACCACCACAACTCACCATCACCACCACCACTACCACAAAAACCCACCACCACTACCACCACCACCAATCTACCACACCACCACCACCATCACCACCACCGTCACAACCACCACCACTACCAGCAGCGCAACCCACCAAGGCCACCACCACAAACCACCACAACACCACCACCACCGCCACCACCACCACCAGCACCACGTCGACAAACCACCACCACAACCACAACCCACCACTGCCACCACCACAAACCACGACCACACCACTACCACCACCACCACAACCACCAACACAACTCACAATCACCACAACCACCACCACAAAAACCCACCACCACTACCACCACCACCACAACCTACCACCACCACCACCACCGCCACAACCACTACCAGCAGCACAACCCACCACCACTACCACCACAAACCACCACACCACCACAACAAACCACCACCGCCGCCACCACCACCACCAGCACCACCTCCACAAATCACCGGCACCACCACCACCACCACAAACCGCCACCACCACCACCACAAACCGCCACCACCACCACCACCCAACCCACCACACCACCACCACCACCACCACCACCACCACCACCACCCCAACCACCACCACCACCACCACCACCACCACCACCCACCACCACCAACCACCACCACCACCACCACCACCACCACCAACCACCACACCACCACCACCACCACCACCACCACCACCACCACCAACCACCCCCACCACCACCACCACACCACCACCACCACCCACCACCACCACCACCACCACCACCACCACACCACCCACCCCCACCACCCACCACCCACACACCCACCACCACCCACCACCCACCACCAACCACCACCACCCAACACCACCACCCCACCACACCACCACCCCCACCCCACCCACCACCCACCCAACCACCACCACCACCACCACCCCACACCACCACCACCACAACAAACCACCACACCACCACCACCACCACCACCACCGCCACCACCACCACCACCACCACATCCCACCACCACCACCACCTCCCCGCCGCCGCCGCCCGCCGCCGCAGGCGCGGACGCCGGCCCAGAAAAGGAAATCGACGTCCCCGCCAGCCGCCGCCAGCCGCCGCCGACGCAAGCGCCGGCCCGAAGAGAGGGGAAGCAGGGGGGGGAGGGGGGGTTCGAACCCCCCCCTCCATCCAGGGGGTGTGTGTCCGACCACAAAACGCGCTCTTTCAAACATAAGGAGAACCGCTTCGAGTCCGCCGGCCCTTTCGGCGTGTTTAACACGTTTTTCCGTTTCTGCCGTCGCCGTCGTCGCCTTCTCCGCTCCCCCCCTTCCCTGGGCCCTCCTCCGCAAGGGGCCCAGCCAAAAGGAAATCAAACAGCGTCGTAATTGATTCGAAGGGAGCCCCCTTCCTTTTGATCCGTTCCCTGCTGGGAAGGGGCGCGGTCACCTGGGGGGTCCCGAGGGATGTTCTGTGAGGGAGTCCTGCGTGTGTGTGGGGGGTCTCGGGAGCCGTGCTCTGTTGGGGGGTCTCTTGGGGGACTCCGAAGCTCCGTGGTCACTTGGAGCCGCCTCGAAGCGGATCTGAGGCCTCTTGGAGGCATGTGGAAAAATACCCAGCAGTGCGCATCAGCAGATAAGAGTGAGAAGGGTGCCTCCAGGGGGGGTGGGTGGGAGGAAGGAGGGGGGGTGGCGGCCCCCTTGTCCACAGGAGAGAGGCGGGGGGAGGGGTCTTGAGCCCAAGAGGCTCCCAAGAGAGCCCCAGGAAGGGCTGCGGAGCGTCAATGTCGTCGTTGTCGCCGCCGTCGTCGTCGCCGTCCCCCAGAAGTGTCGGCGGCACCGGCCGCAAGGCCTTTTCCATACCTCGTGTATTGCAAGAGCACAGAATGGTTAGAGGCCTGTGTACACCTTCCGATGCCTGACAGGCGCCTCCCGCCACTTCGACAGCAAGGGGCGTCGGTTCCTCCTCCTCCTCCTCCTCCTCCTTTTCCTCCTCCTCCTTTTCCTCCTCCTCCACTGCAACTGAGGAGGGTTTACGAGTGCAAGTGCCAGAGCAACGCGTCCGAAAGTAGACTCAGCAATACGATATGCCATGGAAAGAACTACCGATCGATGAACTACCCTAGCCAGCCCTCTGGCCAACCCCAACCGGCCCTCTAGCCCAGGCTGTCCGACCCTCCAAGCAAGAACCCCCAGCCAATTCCGGTTAGGCTCGCTCTTCCCACACGATCTGATAATCATTGGCCAGAACAGAACTGGGGGCTTCTCACTTGCCGATGTATTATTCAGTTCTCTTTTCACCACCGAACGATCCGCTGCCCAGCCAGAGGACTCACACTGCACCTATCGACCAGCCATTGCAGCTCCCACGCAGCGGTAGTGTTCTGCAGAGTCTGGCCGAGTTTACGTCACCATATTCGGGGGGAACGCGGAGGATAATGAGTAGGAGGAGGAAGAGGAGGAGGAGAAGGATGAGGAGGAAGAGGAGAATGAGGAGGTGAGGAGGAGGAGGAGGAGGAAGAGGAGGAGGATGAAGATGATGAGGAGGAGGATTATAACGAGGCGGAGGAGAAGGAGGGAAGGGGAGGGCACATGATAACGTGAGAACATCCTGCATAATGAGGAAGTGGAGGAGAGAAGGATGAGGATGAGGATGAGGATGAGGATGATGATGATGATGATGAGGAGGAGGAGGAGGAGGAGGAGGAGGAGGAGGAGGTGAGGCAGAGGCAAAAGAACGAGGAGGAGGAGGAGGAGGAGGAGGAGGAGGAGGAGGAACGAGGAGGAGGAGGAGGAGGAAAGAGGAGGGATTCTCACTTGCCGATCTTGTAGAAGATCACGTCGCCGTCCTGCACCTGCTGGCCCGCGGGGCACCGCCCGAGCGGGCGCGGCTGCGAGCGCTGGAGCGGGGAGACGCGTGCTACACCCTGGGAGCCGACCAGCAGCTCAACGACGAAAGCAGGGGGGCGAAGAAGAACAACCGCACAGGCACACAAACTCTCGGAGTCCCGCGCTGGAGCGGGGAGACGCGTGCTGCACCCTGGGGGCCGACCAGCAGCTCAGCGACGAAGGCAGGGGGCCGAAGAAGAACAACCGCACAGCATATCAACAGGCAGATCAACTCTCGGAGTCTCGCGCAGGTTTTCTGCATCGGCGCTGGGCCCTCCCCCCCCTCCTGGCGTGCGGAGCGCGCCAGGGTCGGCGTAAACTTTGGGAGGTCCGCGCGGATTTCTTGGATCTGCGCTGGAGCGCCCCCGCTCCTGGCGCGCGCCTGCGGGTTCCAGCGCAGATCCAAGAACTCCGCGCGCACCGTCAAAAGGTAGTGTTTTATGCCGCTTTTCTTCAGCGCCAGGGTTAGGGGCAACGGTATGGGGGGGACTGGCATAGGGGGGATGCATCGACCTGGAATCGGCGATACATCGCCGATAGATCGCCGATAGGCCTCCGATAGTGAATCCGCACATTCCTGGGCAGGTTGGGGCTATTGGGCCCCTATCGGCGATAAATGGGCGATTGGGGGTCGATGCATCCCCCCCTATGCCTATCCCCCCTATCGTTGCCCCCGACAGGGGCGCTCCAGCGCCGATGCTCGAACCTCGAGGAGGCCCCCTCCCTGACGTGGACCCTGAGCGGGCGCGCCTCGGCCGTCCCTCGTCGAGCCCTGGAGGCCCACCCTCCCGACGGGCCCCAAGGACACACACACAACACAAATAAGCAGACGCGGCACTCCGAGGACTCCCCATACTTTTCCACATCTTCTTGAGGGCGCCTTCCCCTCCACTTTCCGTGCTTTGCATACTTCCGCGGGAGTCGACGACTCTTTGTGTCCGTGAACTCTTTCCTCTCCTGCCACCTCTGCGCCCCTTTCCCAGCCCGATCGATCTGCGACGGCCCCGGCGCCCAGGGCAGGGCGACGTCGCCCGCTGCGGAGCCCTTGCGACGCCAAGATCCACGAGAGTCGGCGGAGGCGCTGGGCTCCGCTGCGCGGCGGGGCCGCGGGGGCTCCACCTCTCCCCCAGACCCCCGACGTCCTGATTGTTTGTTTGCGCAGCGTTGGCCCCAGGAGGCCTCGACCCCTTCCCCGGGACCCATGTCCCGGTTTGTTCGGCACTCGGCCCCCGGAAGTCCCGACCTTTTCCCAAGGACCGGCTTCGAGGAGAGTCTCCTCTCCGGCCTCAGTCCGGGACACCCGGGATCCCGGTACACCCAGAGCACCAGCCTAGGGACACCCGGGACACCCGGGACACCCGAGACACCCGGAGCTCCTGGAGCACCCGGGACACCCAGCACACGCCGGGACACCCGGAACACCCGGGACATCCGGATAACGCCCAGAGTACCCGGAGCACCTGGAGCACCCGGGACACCGGGAACACCCGGAGCCACAGCACGCACGGAGCCAGAGCGCGGAGCCACAACACCCGCCGCTTGCTGCTGCCGCAGCGTACACCCACCCATACAATGGGGAGGTAGAGGGGAAGCGTTCTGTACACAATGCCAGCCACGGACGACAAGGGCTCCCGTTGGAGACTTCTCACGATATACACATATATATGTATGAATAAGACTGCAGTGGCGCTTCGCGCCATGCACCTTGGTCCTTGAAGCTTGGTATGCAGGTGGAATAGCAGGAAGGCCAAGCCGACAATTTAGCGATAACTTGCCTTTTCCGGCATCGCCGCTATAATAATGTTATTCGTTATCCTTCCTCCATGCTTCTTTTTCCTCATGTTCGCCATACCCTGCGCATTCTCCCCATCCTCCTCAGCTCTTTTTTGCGGAGGCTCCTCCTTGGAGAGCCTCTGGGGGTCTCACAAAATTTGTTTGAGGCTTCCTTAAGGCCTTCTGGAGGCCTCCTGGGCGTATTCTGGGGGCCTCTGGGGGCTTCCTCGGGCCACCCTGCCTCCAACCGCGGTCTCGCTGAACGACCGGGTCACGATATGGAATGCTTCGGAGGGTGTCTTGGGGGCATCTTGGGCCGTCACGGGGCTCTCCGAGGGCCATCTTGGCCCCGTGTTGTGCCGTTTTGGGGCTCACTTGGACTGCCTGGAAGCCCTTTCGGATGGTTGTGGGGCGATTTTGGAGCCTCCCAGGCGGCTTCGGACGCCCAGAAGACCGCCGTCTTGGAGCGTCGGGAAGCCGAAAGGAGGAGAACCCCAAAAGTCACCAAAAACCACCAGAAAATCAATCATTTTTGCCTGTTGGGGCCTTCTTGGGAGTGCTCTTGGAGGCCTCTTTGGGGCAGTCCTGGGGGCCTCTCGGGCCATCTTGAGGTCACGTCGGTCACTCTTGGAGCGCTCTTGTGCTGTCTTGGGGGTCCCTGGGACGTCTCCGATGACCCCCCTGATCGCCCTAAGTGTGCTGGGAAGGCTTGGCAAAACGCCCTGCGAGGCCCGGGAACCGCTTCGAGGCCCGTCCGGAGGGTCCCAAATCCCCAGATCCTGGGAGTCCGGTTTGGGGGGGGGGGTGACGGGTTTTCCCCCCGCATGGGCTTATACAAATATAGGAAGAGGTGTGTGTATATATATATATATATATATATATATACTAGAACCACGCGCGCGCTTCGCGCGCGCTTAGGTTCTAGCGCGGACTTCCCCGATTGTGAATGCGAGGTCGCAAAGAAGAGGGGCAGGCGGATCGGTCGGAGCATCATAAACATCAAGAGCACGGGTATCCTGGCCTTGTTCGCTCCTCTTCGCCTCCACCTCCCCGTGATCCTTCTCCCGCATCATCGCAATCACCATCGCCATCACCCTCTACATCATCACCATTATCAACATCAAAACAGTCGCAATAATTGTTGAAGTCTTTACCGACCGTCGTCGTCGTCGTCGTCATCATCATCATCACATCATCATCATCACCATCACCATCACCATCACCATCACCATCACCATCATCATCATCATCATCATCATCATCATCATCATCATCATCATCATCATCGCCATCACCCTCAACAGCATCACCATCATCAACATCAAAGCAATCGCGATAATCGTTGACGTCGTCACCGTCTTCGTCGTCGTCATCGTCATGTTCGTGCATCATCGTCGTCACCAGCGTCGTCGTGCTCGTCCTCGTCGTTCACCACCTCATCCACCTCCTCCTCCTCGTCCTCCTCCTCCCACTCCAGCTCACCCTCCTCCTGATCTTCCTCCTCCTCCAGCGTGCTCTGGAAGGGTATCGCCGGAACCTGCTGTCCACCCTCCCGGGGTCCAAACGTACCAGTTATCCGAGCTCCAAGAGCGCTCCAAGAGGGCCCAAGATTTGACAGAAATTTGACAGAACGGGGTCTCCAACAATGACATGGTTTCTGTTAAAGTTCTGTTAAATTCTAGGCCCTCTTGGGAACCTCTCAGGGATGTGAGACGGCTCCCGCAGGGCCCCACAAGGGCCCCAGGAGAGAACCAAGAGCGCTCCAAGAGGGCTCCAAGAGGGTCCGAAATTTCACAGAAATTTAACAGAACGCGCTCTCCAACAACGACGTGGTTTCTGTTAAAATTCTGTTGAATTATATGCCCTCTTGGGGGCCTCTCAGGGCCCTGAGACGGCTCCCGCAAGGCCCCAGGAGGGCCCCAAGAGCGCTCCAAGAGGGCTCCAAGAGGGCCAGAAATTGAACAGAAATTTAACAGAACGCACTCTCCAACAACGAAGTGGTTTCTGTTAAATTTCTGTTAAATTCTGGGCTCACTCGGGCGCCTCTGATAGCCCTGAAACATCTCCCGCAGCGCCCCAGAAGGACTCCAGGAGGGCCCCGAGAGGGCTCCAAGAGGGCCCGGAATGTAACAGAAATGTGACAGAACGCGCTCTCCAACAACGACGTGTTTTCTTTTAAATTTCTGCTAAATTCTATGCCCTCTTGGGGCTCTCTCTCTGCCGGGAGAGGGAAACGGGGGGGTCTTGGTGGTGGTCGTGCTGGCGGTCGCGGTGGTGGTCGTGATGGTGGTCGTGCTGATGGTGGTCGTGCTGCTGGGGGGTCGTGCTGGTGGTCATGTGGATCGTCGTGCTTCTGGGTCTTCGTGCTGGTGGTCGTGCTGGTGGTGGTCGTGCTGCTCCGGGGGGGGGATCGTGCTGGTGGTCGTACTGGCAGGTCGTTCCTCGGGGTAGTCGACCACCATCACGTCCACCCACCAGCACAATCAGCAGCACGACCGCCAGCAAAACCACCCACAGGACCACCAGCACGACCACCGAGCAGGGACGACGGCCGGCACGGCCACCAGCAAAGCCAGCAGCAAGACCACCAGCACGACCACCAGCACAACCACCCACCAGCACGACCACGATCAGCACCACCAGGAGGACTTCTAGCACGACCACCAGCACGACCACCAGGACGACCACCCAGAAGCGCGACCACCAGCGCGACCACCAGCACGACCACCGACCAATACGACTACCAGCACCACCACCCACCAACACGACCACCGGCACGACCACCCAGCAGGACGACCGCCAGCACGTCCACCAGCACGACCACCAGCACGACCGCCGGCACGGCCACAAGCATGACCACCAGCACGACCACCGGCACGACGACCTGCACGACAAACAACCCGACCAGCAGCACCACCGCCCGCACGTTCACCCACCAGCGGGATCACCATCACGACCACCAGCACGACCACCCACGAGCATGCCCACCAGCACGGCCACCTGCACGACCACCCGCAAGCACGACCACCCGCCAGCACGACCACCATCCCGACTGCCAGCGCGACCACCAGCGTGACCATCCACCACACGACCGCCAGCAAGACCACCAGCAAGACCACCAGCACGACCACCAGCGCGACCCCCAGCACGACCATCCACCAGCACGACCGCCAGCACGACCACCCGCATGACC